GACTGCCAGATCTCCATCTCCCTGGGAGCACTGGGCAGCTGTGGGGTCAAGGGAGGGAAGGTAGAGCCCTGGGTGAGCCTCCAGCCCTGAGCTCTGGAGAAAGGTCTGCAGAAGGCTTGTTGAGGCTCCTTCCCCTGGGGAGAAAGGTGAGAGGGAGAGGTGGCAGCAGTGGGTACCAGCCGTCAGCTTCTGCAGAGCCTCACCCATTTGACAGATGCATGCCCAAAGCTCATGCCACATGCCATGAGGAGGGGCCTTGAGCCCTACCCTATAGGTCTGGCCTCTTCCCTGCTTGAGACTGTTCGTCTGGCCCCTCCTACTATGGGCCTCAGGCTCTCATCTGTATCGAGTGCGAAGTTGGGGCCAGCCCCATGCGCCAGGAACTCTTTTGATCAGCAGAGCCAAGGATGACCTGCCTCTCTTGGTGGCTGTCCTCCTTGGGTACACGTGTGCATCATAATTTGCAAATAACACACATTGACTCAAAGTGTAAACTCTGTGGATGAAGGCCGGAGAGGGCAGGCATTGTGGTGTAGAGAGGTAAGCAGCCACCTGCAACAGTGGCATCCTACGTTGGTGCCAGTTCAAGTCTAGACTGCTCCACTTCTGACCCAGCCCCCTGCTGATGCTCCTGGGGAAGCAGAAGATTGGCATGAGTACTTGGGTCTTTGCTACTCACCTAGGAGACCTGGAGGAAACTCCTGGCTCTGGCCCAGCCCTGGCCATTACAGCCATTTGAGGAGTATACCAGCAGATGGAAGGCCTCTCTATAATTCTTCCTTTCACATAATAATAAATTTTAAAAATATGGGGAAAGAAGGTAAGATAAGACAGAAAGATAGAACAATGATGATGGTCTTCCTGATTACCTGCCAGGCACTGTGCCAGTCTGACCAGCCCACCCAGGAGGGACCACTGTCCACACAGGCAGAGGAGGAAACAGCCTCACTGACCTAGTGGTGTTCCCAGGGTCCCACAGGGAGGTGATAAAGCAAGGACTGGAACCTGAGCTCAGCCTTGACTCCACAGCATCCTGCCTCCCCTCCTGGATGAGGAGCTGGGCCAAGGAAGGGTGTCTCTGACCACCACCTCCTTCTGGCCCCAGGCAGCTTCTGCTGCAGCCCAGATACTTCTCAAGCACAGCAGGGGCAGGTTCTTCCAATACAGAACTGGAAGGAGGGGCAGGTGCACCAGGTTGGTTGGAATTTGCAGTGCAGCCCTCAAGTTGGGCACCATGAATTCTCTTGGAAACAGGTGTTTGTAGATTAAACGACATTTTAAAAAAATATATTTTTATGGGGCCCAGCGGCATGGCCTAGCGGCTAAAGTCCTCGCCTTGAACGTGCCAGGATCCCATATGGGCGCCAGTTCTAATCCCGGCTGCTCCACTTCTCATCCAGCTCCCTGCTTGTGGCCTGAAAAAGCAGTCAAGGATGGCCCAAAGCCTTGGGACTCTGCACCCGTGTGGGAGACCTGGAAGAGGTTTTTGGTTCCCAGCTTCAGATCGGTGCAGCACTGGCCGTTGCGGTCACTTGGGGAGTGAATCATCAGAAGATTCTCCTCTCTTTCTCTCTCTCCTCCTCTCTGTATATCTGGCTTTGTAATAAGAATAAATAAATCTTTAAATTTGAAAGAAAGAGTTACAAGAGAAAGAGAGAGAGAGGGAGAGACGGGGGAAAGGGGAAGAGATCTTCCATCTGCAGGTTTACTCTCCAGAGCAATGGCCAGAACTGAGCTGATCTAAAGCTAGGATCCAAGAGCTTCCTCTGGGTCTCCCATGTCGTGCAGGGGCCCCAAAGACTTGAGCCATCTTTCACTGCTTTCTCTGATCATAAACAGGGAGCTGGGTCGGAAGTGGAGCAGCAGGGATTAGAACTAGTTGCCATATGGGATGCTGGCTGCAGGCAGAGGCTTTAGCCAGACAGGAGACAGGAGTCAGTAGCTCCATCTGGGTCTCCTATGTGAGGGGCTGGGACCCAAGTACCTGAGCCATCACCTGCAGCCTTCAAGGATATGCCTGAGGAGGCAACTGGATGGGAAACAGTTGGGACACAGAGCAGCTTTGATCCAGATGCAGGAGTCCTGAGTGCCTGCCTTGTTGCATTCTTTGTAGGGGAGCTGATTAAACAGTCTTTCATGTGTGTCTTGCCAGCAGTGGGTTGTGTGGGGTTGGGCTCTGCTTGAACAGTGTTCCTGGCACCTCACATTGCTTCCTGGTTCTTGGGACTGTCCCTGGGTTCTCTCGAAGGTGCTGCTTTCCTCTGGACATGTCTCCAGTCTTCTGATTCATTCTGGAATGTTCCATTGCTGCCTCTTCTGCTCTTGGTCCTTGGCATGCACAAATGCAGACACGGAGTTGGTGAGACTCAGGGTGGGCAAGTTGCTGGGGTAGGGCCCTTTCTCCTGCACAGTCTCATGTGTCCCCAAGCACAAGCCATCCAGCCAGCCCTTCCCCTGCTGCCTTCGGCAGGACAAGGACATGCTGGGACCTTCCTGGCCAGCCCTTCAGCTGTTACTTGGGAAGATGACCCATGCTAACTAACCTCCCTGGCCTTGTTGAGACTAGCAGAGCCATGGGAAAACTCCCCAAGATTGGACTCTGTTATCTTTCCCTTTGATTTTGCTCTTTGATCTTGAGGCTGGGAAAGTCCTAGTCCTGACCTTGAACCCTTGAAGGAATCCAGTCCCTGGTGCTGGCCACACATGCCTCACCTAATAGCTGTTCTTGACCACAAAGAATCTGGGCCAGGTAGGAGGGACTGTGAAAGGTTGGGGGAGATTCTAGCCACACCTCCTTCTCTGTTTCTCTTGCTTATCTCTCCCCCTCCCTCTGTGACCTGCTGTCCACCTCCCATGGCCCCCTCTGCTTCTGGCCACCTTCCCGTTCCAAGAAATCAGATTGGAGTCTGTTAGAGGACCATGGTGAAGAGGGTGTACTGGGAGCAACCTGGCCTCTGGTAGACCACAGCCACACCCTTGCTGTGTGATAGAGAATCACATCTCTTTGAGAGGCTTCCCCTGCTTTTAACAGCCACAGCCGACCCAAACAGCCATGCCTCAGAGTCAGGCTGAGTCATTGAGCCTGGGAGGCCACAAGAAGCATGCCTGTGGAGTGTCATGGCCTTGACTCCTGCTTGGCTGGGAGCCAGCTGCTGCACCTCTCCTTGGTCAAAGCCAAGACTGTCCCCCTGCCTGTTTGCCCCTATCCAAGTCATGTAAGTGGCAGGACCCCAATTCCCTGGCTTCAACCCTGCCCGTGAGGTTTCCGGCAAGTTCTCTGACTTCTTGTGCCTCCATTTTCCCATCTGAGAGTAAACATTGTGCCAATTGGCCTGGGCTGTTTTGAGCATCAGATGAACTGATGGTGTGGAAGATGATTTGAACAATGCTGAGCAGGGCATTTGACCTCTCACTGCTGCAGGTACCAGTTTTGTGGCATGGCTTACGTATGCATTTCCCAAACACCTTTGTCCCAGTCATCATAGCTGTACTTGGCCATAGAGAGGACATTCTTGTGCCCCCTTGACACCTGTCAAGGTTAAACAAAATCATCTGAGAGTCTGCCTGGAGGGAGTGTGGCTGGAGTCCCACCCCAACCCTATTTAGATGTGCACTGTACTGCCCAGGAAAGGGATCCTGGAAGCCACACGAAGGGAACCTCGTGGCTCTCTGGATGGCAGCTGGGTGTGTTCTCTCTGCTTGCTTCTGATTGGCTGCGTCTGCATGCTTGTTGCGCCCCACTCCGGGCCCCAGCCAATCTGGATGAGCAGCCTCGGGCATGGAGCCTGGCAAGGCTGACTGGGGAATCGTGTTTGCCCGGACTGAGCAAGGGTCTGGCTGAGCTGCGGGCTGGTGTCCTCAGGGCCGTGGGCAGTCATCTAGGCCCCCGCCCTGGGTGCCCTGTGAAAGGGGAAAGAGTCTTGAATGCCCAGGCAGAGATCCCACCTCCGGCTTTGGGACAGGGGAGCATGGTGGCTCCCAGGAGCCTCCCTGTCAGGGCCCCCAAACCTCCATGGCCACGAGGGAGGTTGTGTAGGAATCTGGGGTGGGTGGAGTCAGCTCCCAGGATCTCACTGACAAACCAGAGTTTTTTTGGACCGAATCATAAAATGAATGTGGCTTTCTTGCAATTTCCTCCTCCAGTCCCTTGCAAGGGGGAAGAGTGCTCCCGGCCAGTTCCAGGTTCCAGGGACCTGGATTCTGGTTCTTCGAGATTTTGATTTTTCTTTGGCTTCCTGTCTGGCTACAGAGCAGGGGAAGATCTCGCACAGCCTGCTGAGTAGACATGAGTCCTCCAGCTCTGCCCCGAGTGAGCCATGAGTGTGAGCCATGTGTGTCAAAGGCCATGGGGGGAGAGGGGGCTCCCTTCAGCTCTTCTGCTGTGGTAGACACAGGCCCAAACACCCTAGCCAGATCAATTCAGTATCATCCTCCTCAGGTAGGGGGAAGGGACACTGTGTGTTGCGCATGCTATGTGCTGGCCACTCTCCCACTGTACAGATGGGAAAGTGAGGCACAGAGAGGCCATCCACAGGATTCATGAATGCCACGAGCATGCCATCAGTGGTCTGGGACCCAGGGAACTCTTGAATGAAAGGAAACAGAAGGGAAAGTACAGTTGTCCTCATCTGCCCTGCTTGTTCCAGGTTAGAAACTCAAACACTTGAGAGAAAAACCGGCTTGTTGTCCTTGTGCTCCCAGAGATAAGCTTTGGGTGGGGCCTTGGTTAAGCCCAGGGTCCCTGAAAGGAGTCAGAAGTTGTGAGGTTGCTGTGGGAGAGGCGGCTCGGGACCTGTTGGCTGAGGGGTGGGGAGGGGAATGAGCCCAGGAAGACCAAAGGAGATCCCGGAGCCTCTGCCTCTGTGGCTGCCTCGGCACCTGCCCCGCCCTGGGACCCGAGGGTGCTGGGCAGAGCAGTCTAGGCAGGCAGCGGCTTTTGTCTGTCCTCACGAGGCCTCTGCTGCTCGACCTTGCTCACTGGCTCTCTCTCTGTTTTACAGATGGGATCTACTATGGGGACCACCGGTTCGACACCGTGAGTGAGTCGGGGACAGCCACGCTGAAAGCTCGGCCCCGAGTGAGGCCCCTGCTGACCTTCCTCCCTCTGGTGAGTATGGGCGGGCCCCTCATGCGGGGGCGGGAGGTCCGAAGGTCGGTTGGCTCTGGGCAGGGTCAGCCCACCAGCCGGAGGAAGCAGTGGCTCCCCGCTGTCTTGGCCACCTGTCTGCCTGCGACCTGAGCCTCTGTTTCCTTCTCTTCCAACCCAGGAGGAGGCATGGCCAAAGCTCAGGGCAGACAGGCTGGGATTGGGGGCGAAGAGCAGGGAGGGGTGCAGATCCTCTGAGGTCGAAAGCCAAGGAGCGGTTACGGTGTTGTGGGGTGGGGACTCCCAGCTCAGGGATGGCTGTACCCCACAGGTGTCACTGAGCCCAAGGTGCTGCTCTCCAGGCCCTCCCTACCCACTGCAGGTGACCACTGAGCCACCAGGATTTTACTCAATTTGTTATATTCAAAAAGTTTATTATTGCAACATGTGATCAGTATAAAAATACTAGTGAGATATATATTTCCTTCGTGCTAAGTCTTCAATCTATATAGTACATTTCACTTACTTTGTTTTTTTTTCTTTTTCTTTCTTTTTTTTTTTTTTTTTTGAAAAGCAGAGAGAGAGAATGTTCACTCCAGGTTCACTTCCCAAATGTCTGCAACAGCCAGGGTTGGCCTACAACTCATCCAGGGTTTCCCATGTGGGTGGCAGGGACTCAAGTACTTGGGCTGTCACCTGCATCCACAGGCAGCTGACACTGGAAGCAGAGCTGAGACCCAGGTGCTCTAAGAAGGAGAGTGGGTTTCCTAGGAAGGGTCCTAACCACTCAGTTGAATACTTGCTCCAGCGTATCCCACCTCTCATTGCAAGTCTGGTGGTCACCTGTGGCCAGCGTTGACCATCAGCCACCGACTGTCTAAACCGCCAGGCTCCTAGATTGCAGGTTCACTCCCAGATGCCAGATCTGGGTCCTGGCCAGAACAACACTGTTGTTGAGGTTTACACTGCTAAGGCTAATGTGCCTGCCCTGGGCTGAGCTCTCAGTGGGGCTGCATGGTCCTGAGTTGCCCACATGTCCTGCCTGGAACTGCTTGGCACAACCACCAGTTTTTTTTCCTGGTTGGTCCATCCTTGTGGAGCCCAAGATCCTAGACAGTACAGAGAAAGCCTGACATTCCTGTTGCGTCCCACGGCCTTCAGGTAGAAGGCTGAGCAGGCAAACCTCTGGGACTTGCACTTGAAACAATTTCTTTTTATTATTATTATTATTATTTATTTTTTATTACAAAGTCATATATACAGAGAGGAAGATCTTCTGTCCGATGATTCACTCCCCAAGTGACCGCAATGGCCGGTGCTGCGCCGATCTGAAGCTGGGTACCAGGAACTTTTTTCCAGGTCTCCCACTCGGGTGCAGGGTCCCAAGGCTTTGGGCCGTCTTCGACTGCATTCCCAGGCCACAAGCAGGGAGCTGGATGGGAAGTGAAGCTGCTGGGATTAGAACTGGCACCCATATGGGATCCTGGCGCGTCCAAGGCGAGAACTTTAGCCACTAGACCACGCTGCCGGGCCCAGTTGAAATAATTTCTTTTGTGCTTAGAAAAGGAAGTCATGACTGTAATAGGCAGATATAGGAAATATGACACTGACAGGCAAATAGCAAACAGGCCAGTCTCTCACTTGGTTACCAGAAGCTCTAGTGGTGGGGAGCTTGCATCCATAAATGCAGATGAAATAATGCTGAGGCGCTCTCCGCTCAGCCGCCCCCAGGCCACAGCCTCAGAACCACACGGTGCAGGCCCAGAGCTGACACATTTGTTCCTAGATGCAGGCGAAATGGCCATCATCTCTTGAGTGGCTCCTCTCCTCCCAGCCCTTCTCCACATCTGGACCACCCCAGGAACCAGCAGATGCAGGCCCAGCTGAAGCGCCACTGCCTGACCACTGTGTTGTATCTTCTTCCCCAGCTCCCACTGTGTGCTCCTCCGACATTTCTGGCCTTTCCTGCTTCTGGGTCCCTGGCTTCCATCAGGTCTGGGCAGAACATGACTCACGCCACTGGCGTGGGCTTGGCCATCTGCACAGACCTGAAGCAGTCTTTCTGGGCAAACCTCAGAGCTGGTCATGCTCAGAGATGGGGGCTTCTGTCCCCACAAACTCAGGATAGCTCACTGGAAGGGACAAGAGGATGATGACTGTGGGAACTAACAAAAGCAGAGTGGCTCCTGGGAAGGGGACTCTGGCTGCCGCTGGGTCCCATCACGCCCCGTGATTGTGGCTCAGGTGCACTGAGCAGGTGTCATGCTTAGTGTCTGAGTGTTAGCAGGGATACTCCATGAGCAAGGGGCTGTCACTTGTCCCCAGATTTTAGCTAAAGCATTTGGCACAGAGAAGGCCAGTCAAGGGTGAGCTGGAATTTGAACCTCTCATGGCAGCTCTGGTGCCTAAGTTGTCTGCAGGCCATCCTACAGCTACTGCCTAGAAGCTTTGGACTTCCCCTCCCAGGGCCAGCATCCACTCCCATTTCTCTGGTCTGTGCCTCTTGGATCTGAGGCCCCGCTAACTAATGAGCCACATGCACATAGACCTGGCCATTTTGGCAGAGGACTCTTGGGAGCCCCTTCAATGTCCCACTAGGTTAGGAACCATTGGCCTGGGACACTGTGCCAGGGACACTTCTAGGCTAGGGATTCAGATCACAAATGACAGCCTTTCCAGCCTGCTTCACCATCAGCTACTCACTTCTGTCATGTCTCTTAGGCTCAGGGCCAAGACCTTTGCTTTCTTCCAGCAGGTACAGGAGCTTGGGAGAGTAGGAGAGAAACAGGCAAGTTCACCTCCTCACACAGACACACACACACACACACACACACACACACACATATCCCTGCGCCCTCAACCCTTACAAGTCAGGGTGGGCCAGGAGCCGGGCCTGTAGAAGAATCCTGCTTAACACCATCCCAGCTGTTCTGGGCCTCCGTCCCTCTCAGTCCTCCCATCCCACATCCATTGGGCACCTCCCAGACCAGGCTGCCCTGGAGCAGGGGAAGTTCCAGGCAGCAGGGCCTGGGAAGCCAGCTGATGAGCAGCCAAGGGCCTTTGAGCTGCCTGGGCATGGGCCATCTGTTGCCTGTCCCTTGCTGCTGACGCCTCCAGTGGCCTGCTAGGTGCCAGGGTGCAAAAGAAGGGGGCCAAGTTGAAGTGGGGCAGGCAAGGACAGGTGCTTCTGCACTCCCTCCCAAATGCTTCCTTTGGGGTCCCCCAGCCAGCTAACCAGCAGTTCTGAAATATCTCAGGGTGCCCCCCAGTGACCGGCACTACAGCTGGTGCCAGTCCCAGCTGTGCCACTGGGCTGCAGGGTACCTGGGGACTAGGTCTTTCTCCTTGGCACCTCTGACTCCTCACCCATCAGCAGGGGGTACACTTGTCCTTGAGGTGTCCCCAGCTGTGCCTCTCTGTGCTAAAGTAACTCCTTCATGGAAGTGGAGTGGAGGAATGCCCGCTCTCTGCGGGTTCCTGAGGATACAGGGGTCGCTGCTCGGGCTCAGCGTCCGTATTTGGTGGGTCCTCTTTCCTCTTTCCAAGGCGAGCCTGGGTACAGAGCCCAAGGTGGGACTGGAAAGATTGCGCTTCCTTGCCCTCCTCAGGGTGAAGCAAACCATGCCCATGGTAAAGTACGGGAGGGATTACAGATGAAATGCCCATGTGGCAAATATGGGGAAACTGGCCAGACAGGTCCCTGGGGGTGCCCTGGGCGGCGAGAGCTCCCTGGATCACCGCACCCTCTGAGTCAGACAGGCCTGGCCCTGCCGGCTCCTGGACCCCTCCCTCCCTCCATCCCCCTGCTGCCGTGGAGAAGCAGCCAGCTCACGCCTCCTTCCCACCCTACCCACCTGCACCTCTGAACATGAGGCCCTTTGGGGGGAGGGGGTGGGATTTGAGCCCTTTAACGTAAGCCAGGCATGGTGAGCATTACTGGCTTCCGATGGATTCAACATGGGTGATGCTTGTCTAGAAGGGGCATCAGAGGCTGCAATGAGAGCAGACATCCCTGCCAAAACCCACCCCCTCCTCAAGTACCAATGGGGGAGGCCCCAGCCTGAGCTCCTGGAGCCCCATCCACACACTTCCATCCTTGCCTGCACTTTGGCCACCCCATGGACCAGGGATGAACTTGCCCAGCTCAGCCTGCCTTCGGTAGGATTGGCTGGACAGGCTGGCCCAGAAGTGGGCTCAGGGTCATTTAAACAGGGAATTCTGGAGTCCAGAGGAGAAGGGCATGGGCTCCCAGGGCACACATCCTCTTCCTCCTGCTGACAACTGTGCTGGTTGCAGAGCCAGAGGTGCATGATGGCCAGTGGATGGTGGCTGGCACAGTCAGCAAACAAGCCCAAAGGGCAGTCCTGGGACAGCTGCAGTAGCAGGGGGCCCTGCCCCTCTGAATTCTTCTCCCAGGAGGGATCTGAACTGTGGTAAAGCCCAGGGACCAGGCTGGGGTAGCAGCCCAGCTCCTTTAGAAAATGCTTATTGACTGGAAGGCCATTGGTGATGGGTTCAAGCACCTGGATCCCTGCACTCACAGGGGAGACCCTCGTGGAGTTCCTGGCTCCTGGCTTGTGGCCTGGCCCAGCCCTGGCTGTTGTAGGCATTTGGGGGAGTGAACCAGCAGATCTGTTTGTATCTGTGTCTCCCTGTGCCCTTCCACTTTGCAAATGCAAAATTAACAAGTTTAAAAAAAAAAAAAAAGACAAGAAAATGCATGCAGGCTCCCAGCTTGGGAGAAGCTGCTGGGTGGGCATGCACAGGAGTCTGAAGTGTCAGAGTCATGGTTCCTCTGGTCCCTCAGTCCTCCCCCTGGCCAGCACCCCACTGCCCTGAAAGCTAGGACAGCTGACTTTGTCCCAGCGGGGTACATTGGCTGCCTGGAGGAGGTTTCTGTGGCTTCTTCCCTGGGTTGAGGGTCTTAATCTCCTGTCCCCCAGCCATGCCTGGCTCCACCTCTAGTCCAGGATCACTTCCTGCAGCTTCAAATTTCCCCACCCAATCCTATGCAGGAGGAG